AGACCTTCATTGTTGGATCAAATGCTTATCTTTTCGATATGTCAGTAGGATGGTGCTTATCTTTTCGATATGTCAGTAGGATGGATAGTCATGTTGAGAAATATGTAAGATGCAATACTTCCTAGAGGTGAGGTCATGAGTAGGGAGAAAAGAGTTTCATCCAATTTTAGGAAAGAAAAAATTTTTTTTTAATGAAAATCTTTATCCTGCCATTACTTACCCTCTTTTAACTGAGTCAGTTATTGTATAGGGCAAGCAATTGAATCTTTTCCAGGACTATTGTTTTAGTTTGCCCTAACTGGTCATGCTTTTCAAGATAATCACTTCCTAATCAGTTTTCTTATCTTGCTGGGGAAGTCAGATTTTCCTGTCTTTTCCTGAAGGAGTCAGGGTTACAAAATTGACCTTTTTTCCCATTGTAAAATGTTTAAAAAGTTGAAAAAATATCTTTATGCCGAAAGACCTTGCTGGACTAAATTACCTTTGACACATGGTTGTACCGCATATCCAGATTTCAGTGTGGCAGCTTTAATTGAGCCAAGTTTCTTTTCCTGGTGGGTGATATAAATTAATGCAGTAACCTGCATTTGTGTTTTTAAAAACTTTATTACAAAATTATGCCTGACTGGATACTGGGATTGCTAAACAGTAGTGATGCTATATATCAATACTTTTACATTTTTCTTGGCTTAAAGCACAAACTAGAGAAAATATATTTGGATCATTTAACCCTGTAACGAACATGCTCATTCTTGCCGAACTTCCAGGCTTCTATGTGTTTATTATTGTGTTTTGTTTCACCTAAGGCAAAATAATTACAGGAATACATATTGCTATTTCTCATGAGGTTTTTTGTTTGTTTTGTTTTGTTTTCTAGGGTCAGCCTAGAAATATCTTAGTGTCCAATTCAAATTTTTCATTTTCTTTCCATTATGATTTTAATGTTCCTTTGAACACTATTTCAAATACCTGTGTCTCTGTGTTTGGCAGGAAATACACTTTTTAGTTTTTCTCATTTTTAAAAATTTATTTATTTATTTATGGCTGCGTTGGGTCTTCATTGCTGAGTGCAGGCTTTCTCTAGTTGCAGTGAGCAGGGGCTACTCTTCCTTGTGGTGTGTGGGCTTCTCATTGTGGTGGCTTCTCGTTGTGAAGCACGGGTTCTAGGTGCATGGGCTTCAGTAGTTGTAGCACGCGGCCTCAGTAGTTGTGGCTCACGGGCTCTAGAGTGCAGGCTCAGTAGTTGTGGTGCATGGGCTCAGTTGCTCCATGGCATGTGAGAATCTTCTCGGACCAGGGCTCGAACGCTTGTCCCCTGCATTGGCAGGCGGATTCTTAATCACTGCGCCACCAGGGAAGCTCACTTGTTAGTTTTTTACTCTCTGCTCTGGTAGGTAAGACTCCTAACAAGTTCTTTTGTTCTTTAGAAGGAGCTTTTTTAAAAAAAAGATTGAGATGTAGTTCACACACCATAAAATTCACTCTTTTAAATTACAATTCAGTGGTGTTTAGTATCATCATAAGGTTGTACAACCATCACCACTATCTAATTCCAGGACATTTTCATCATCCCACCTTACTTAGATTATAACTAGTAAATATCGATTTCCTTATCTATCTTACTCTTAGTTTTTTCGTTTTGATCAGTGTGTAAGACTGAAAACAGTAAGACAGGAAACTGTATATTAAAAGACTTATGAGATATTAACCCAGTGCAATTTGTAGAGCTGGTTGGAAGTCAACTACAAAAAGATTTTTATTCATGGTCCTCACACTCCCAGCGTCTAAATTATTTCAAAGCAGATTCCAGATATTTTTCTGCAGATACTTCAGTATGTATTTCAACACTAATTGTTGACACACCATGCTTTCCCCCTCTTTATTATCATTTATTAGATGCCCATATTTATGTGGGTCTGCATCTGTCTTTTCTAGTATTCATTTGTCCATTCTTATACTGGTACCACGTTGTTTTATTTACCATAGGTTTATCATATGTTTTGCTACCTGGTAAACATTAGCTCTTAGTAATAATAACAGGAATTATAAAAATTATTTAGTCCTCATAGATACTCTCTGAAATAGGTGGTTTTATCCCATTCTACAGATGAGAAAACCAAGAATTGGAGCAGTTAAGTATTAAGCTGAAGTACATGATAAATATATAAGGCAGCTAAAATTTGAGTCTGAGTTCTGACCTCAAAGTCTAGAACACTGAGGCGTCTCTGAAGAGGGAAAGCTACTGTTTACAAATTTTTTTCTCTTTTGTTTGAGATCATTTACATGGTATTTTCTCAGATTTAGTCTTCATTATAATCCCTCAGGCATATTGAACTTAAGTCTGTAATTTTTTTTATAGAAGCACCTCAGTTTTTCAGTTTCTGTGTATGAGTTTAGCTAGCTAAACTCTAAAAATATGCATATTTTATTTTAAAATGTATTTGAGTTTGTAAGTTGAATTTCAGTATTGACAATACCAATGTTTTTGTGGAAAAAAGCATGCCTTTCATTTCCCAAGTGAGTCTATGTGTGGGGTAAAACCTCTGTGTTTGAAATTTAATATTTTTGTATTTTTGGTACTATACCATTAGATGGCTTATTGGAAAGACATTTATTACATTTGATTGTGCACATTGTGTTTTTTTTCATTGCTGTAATTTCTTAAAATCGCAATTCTTGATGTTAATATGAAAGCAAGAAGGCATAAACTGGGAGGAGGGCTTCCTAATATTGGCTTGTCTGATCATCTGCCAACACTAAATTGTTCAGTGTAAAATAGAAATTATTCCTGTGAGGTTAAGAGACCTGTGGTAAGAATTTCTTTTTATTCAGCAGACTGTATTAGTATTCAACAGTCTATTATGTATTATGTGCTTTATTTATTTTGTGTTAGGTTTATTGTGTGTTAGGTGCTTGGTAACCTTAATCTGTGCCTGACGTACTTCCCAGCACATGGTAGGTCCTTGGTTAAAGTTTAATGATATTAATGAACTGACCTGCAAAAGCCTTGAAACTTTGGAGTAGATTTCTACCCTATTTTATAAAGAACTATGAAACGTTTCCAAATTCTTGCATTTATGAAATGCTTTAAGCACATCCCCAGAGCATTTTCCCTCAAGTGAGAGTTGACTAATATTTGGGGGAAAAAATGGGGGAAATTAAAATACTATATATCTTTTAAAAATATTTTTTCATAAGGGGAATATATATCCATCATGCTATTTTTCTATAGTAAGAAATTCCTGAAACACTGTTTCAATTATTTTTATTTTTGGTACTAATTAGGTAGTATTTTTAAAGGGTGTAGAGTCTCATAAAATGAAAAATTGCTTTTGGATGCTGTCTTTCATAGACCATTTCTCAGTTAAATAGAAATCTTTTGTGAGAAGTAGAAATTGGGATTGGAAAGATAACTATTGGGCCTCTAGGTGTTTTCTTTCCTTTCTTTCTTGTAATTATTAAATATTTCTTTCATTTGTTTTATACCCCTCCCCCACTTTCTTCAATATATTTACTTATTTGCTCAGTCCTAGTGTACACATAAAGTAGTTTTGGAATTGCTAACTCATACTCTTCTGAAAAATAATTCACTAACCAGAGTACAGTATTGTATACAGTTCTTTTTGTCTTTATCCTTGCAAAATACTGTTTTCCAAAGTTATTTAGATTAGTTTATTTCTTCCTTATCTCCTACATTATGGTTACGTTTTCCATTTGTAACAGAGTTGGGTTACTCTTTGCATTTTTGGGGGGGTTCCCTTCACATTCTGGTTAATTTGAACTACTTGTTTTTGAGGGGATGTGAAACATTACCATGATTCTAAGAGTCGGAACTATGTGAAAGGGTATACTTGGAGAGATGTCATCCCCCTCATCCCTTTTATCCCATTCCTGTTTTCTCTTCCTTCCATGTCATTTCCACCTACTCCTTGTTCAATAACCAATCTCATTAATTTCTAATTTCTCTTTCCTCTTTTTTTTTTGTACAAATGAGCAGATATGTGCATATTTTCTCATCTTTCTTACAGAAAGGGTGGCACACTCTAGATACTCTTTTGTGCTTCGATTTAATACTATATCTTATTATGTAATACCCTTATTGTATATTAATAATATCCAGTTTATCCCCTTAATATATCTAGGAATCACTTCTTATCAGTTTACAGACTGCTTCTAATTCTTTTTTTACAGCTGCATAGTACTCTACTGCATAGATGTGCCATAGTTTATTCAGCCATTCTCCTATGCCTGGGCATTCTAGTTATTTCCAGTATTTTACAGTTGTAAACTGCTGCAATGAATAGATTTGAGTATGTGTACTTTTGTGTTGTTGAGGTGTGTCTTCAAGGTAAATTCACAAGAGTGGGATTGCTAGGTTAAAAGGTAAGTGTGTATGTTTTATTATTAGTTATCACAAAATTTCCCTCCAGAAAAGTTGTGTGCGTCTGTATTCCCACCAGCACTAGGAGAGTGCCTGGTTCCCACAGCCTGGCCAGCGAATGTGCTCTCATACTTTTTTATTATCCCCAAGCTGATGGATGAGAATGGTATTGCAACATTTTAATTTACATCTCCATTGAAAATCTTTTCATACATTTAAGGGTCATTTTTATATCTTTGTTGTGCTCTAAAAGGTACCAGTCCACGGCCTGTTAGGAACCGGGCCACGCAACAGGGTGAGCGCGGCGGGGAGGGGGGGGAGCAGGTAAAGCTTCATCTGCCGCTCCCCATCGCTTGCATTACTGCTTGAACCATTGCTCGCGTTGCTACCTGAACCGTCCCCACCACCGCTCACATTACCACCTGAACCACACCCCAACCCGCCTCGGCCGTGGAAAAATTATCTTCCACGAAACCAGTCCCTGGTGCCTAAAAGGTTGGGGACCGCTGCTTTAAAGGGTTGTATCTTTTGCACACTGTGTTTGATTATTCACCTTCAGCTTGCCAGGACAGTACCACTTTATAGAAGCCACACATTAAATATGACTTTTCTCTTTCAGATCTACCATGGTGGCTTATTTTAATTCGGCAGAAAGCTTTGGTGGGCAAACTTCCAGGAGACCATGAGGTCTGTAAAGTTACCAAAATTGCTGTGCTATCACTTTCTGAAATGGAACCTCAGGATCTTGAGCTAGAGGTAAGGTAAAGTCTCAGGAAATTTTATGGAAACTTGATATAGATGTAATGGCAACTATGGGGATTTGGTTTAATAGACCAGAATCATAGAGTTTTAGAGCTGGATAATATCTTTAGAGTAATTTAATCCTGTGGTTTTCAAGTCTCACTTTGGTAGTGGAACCTTTGTTTTAAAATCTGTGAAATCCAGTATATAAAATGCATAGAAGCCAGAGCTGCTTTTGTTGAGGTAGTGATGGGAGAAGAGGGGTTCCTTGGGGCCCTGCCTACTTGGCTTCTGCTGGAAGCCACCTTCTGTTTCTAGGGATCCCTAAGACTCTGCATAGCACAGTTCAAAAACTGGTTTGGGGTAGGGGAAGTCAAGAAGGTGAGATTTAACTTTTATTATATCTTTTATCTATATTTCTTGAAATTTCTCTCAGGCTATATTTCTCTTGTAGTTTTTTTTTAAGTTTTTTTTTTCCTTTTTCATTTCTAATTTTATTGATTTGAGTCCTCTTCCTCTTTTTCTTGATGAGTCTGGCTAATGGTTTATCCATTTTGTTTATCTTCTCAAAGAACCAGCTTTTAGTTTTATTGATCTTTGCTATTGTTTTATTTCTATTTCACTTATTTCTGCTCTGATCTTTATGATTTCTTTCCTTCTGCTAACTTTTGGTTTTGTTTGTTCTTCTTTCTCTAGTTCCTTTAGGTGTAAGGTTAGATTGTTTATTTGAGATTCTTCTTGTTTCTTGAGGTAGGCTTGTATAGCTGTGAACTTCCCTCTTAGAACTGCTTTTGCTGCATCCCAGAGGTTTTGGATCGTTGGTTTTCATTGTCATTTGTCTCTAGGCATTTTTTGATTTCCTCTTTGATTTCTTCAGTGATCTCTTGGTTATTTAGTAACGTATTGTTTAGCCTCCATGTGTTGGTGTTTTTTTAATGTTTTTTTCCCTGTAATTCATTTCTAATCTCATAGTGTTGTGGTCAGAAAAGACGCTTGATATGATTTCAGTTTTCTTGAATTTACCGTGGCTTGATTTGTGACCCAAGATGTGATCTATCCTGGAGGATGTTCCATGTGCAGTTGAGAAGAAAGTGTAATCTGCTGTTTCTGGATGGAAGGTTCTATAAATATCAATTAAATCTATCTGGTCTTTTGTGTCATTTAAATCTTGTGTTTCTGTATTAATTTTCTGTTTGGATGATCTGTCCATTGGTGTAAGTGAGGTGTTAAAGTCCCCCATTATTATGTGTTACTGTCGATTTCCTCTTTTATAGCTGTTAGCAGTTGCCTTATGTATTGAGGTGCTCCTATGTTGGGTGCATATATATTTATAATTGTTATATCTTCTTCTTGGATTGATCTGTTGATCATTATGTAGTGTCCTTCCCTGTCTCTTGTAACATTCTTTATTTTAAAGTCTATTTTATCTGATATGAGTACTGCTACTCCAGCTTTCTTTTGATTTCCATTTGCATGGAATATCTTTTTCCATCCCCTCACTTTCAATCTGTATGTGTCCCAAGGTCTGAAGTGGGTCTCTTGTGGACAGCATATATATGGGCCTTGTTTTGTATCCATTCAGCAAGCCTGTGTCTTTTGGTTGGAGCATTTAATCCATTCATGTTTATGGTAATTATCGATATGTATGTTCCTATGACCATTTTCTTAATTGTTTTGGGTTTGTTTTTGTAGGTCCTTTTCTTCTCTTGTGTTTCCCACTTAGAGAAGTTCCTTTAGCATTTGTTGTAGAGCTGGTTTGGTGGTGCTGAATTCTCTTAGCTTTTGCTTGTCTGTAAAGCTTTAGATTTCTCCATTGAATCTGAATGAGATCCTTGCTGGGTAGAGTAATCTTGGTTGTAGGTTCTTCCCTTTCATCACTTTAAGTATATCATGCCACTCCCTTCTGGCTTGTAGAGTTTCTGCTGAGAAATCTGCTGTTAACCTTATGGGAGTTCCCTTGTATGTTATGTGTCGTTTATCCCTTGCTGCTTTCAATAATTTTTCTTTGTCTTTAATTTTTGCCAGTTTGATTACTATGTGTCTCGGCGGGTTTATCCTGTATGAGACTCCCTGCACTTCCTGGACTTGGGTGGCTATTTCCTTTCCCATGTTAGGGAAGTTTTTGACTATAATCTCTTCAAATATTTTCTCGGGTCCTTTCTCTCTCTCTTCTCCTGGGACCCCTATAATGTGAATGTTGTTGCATTTAATGTTGTCCCAGAGGTCTCTTAGGCTGTCTTCATTTCTTTTCATTCTTTTTTGTTTATTCTGTCCCGCGGCAGTGAATTCCACCATTCTGTCTTCCAGGTCACTTATCTGTTCTTCTGCCTCAGTTATTCTGCTATTGATTCCTTCTAGTGTAGTTTTCATTTCAGTTATTGTGTTGTTCATCTCTGTTTGTTTGTTCTTTAATTCTTCTAGGTCTTTGTTAAACATTTCTTGCCTCTTCTTGATCTTTGCCTCCATTCTTTTTCCAAGGTCCTGGATCATCTTCACTATCATTATTCTGAATTCTTTTTCTGGAAGGTTGCCTATCTCCACTTCATTTAGTTGTTTTTCTGGGGTTTTATTTTGTGCCTTCATCTGGTACATAGCCCTCTGCCTTTTCATCTTGTCTCTCTTTCTGTAAATGCGGGTTTTGTTCCACAGGCTGCAGGATTGTAGTTCTTCTTGCTTCTGCTGTCTGCCCTCTGGTGGATGAGGCTATCTGAGAGGCTTTTGCCGGGTTCCCTATGGGGGGGGCTCTTTTTTTTTTTTTTTTTTTTTTTTTTTTGAAGAAAGAAAAACCACTGGTCTTGTAAGACTTTTTCATTTTCCAAGAGGAAATCAAGCCTTCAAATAGAGTGACTTAGGGCCAAGATAATGAGATTGCCCAGGGCCAGTGTTTGTCTCCACACTGTGCCTCGCCACCGCCTGGCTGAAGTAACCCATGAAAGCATTTGTATCATGCCTGCTGTCAGTGTGGGGATGTGGCATCTAGGGATGTCATCACTCTGTCATAGTCCTAGCCTATTTTGGTCACTGTGTGATGTGCCAGACAGGCCCTGAGGGTTAAATGGATTATCATATTTAATCCTTTGGACTATCCTATAAAGTAGGCACTGTTATAGTCCATGTTGTACAGGTGAAGAAAGAAGGCTTGGAGAGGAAGTAATCACAGCTGACATGTGGTAGTGTCCAGACCTGGACTCAGGCCGTCTGGTCCTGTATCACTCTGCTGACCTTGCCTCCCTGTTACCTGAATAGCAGGTAACATAGTTCCCACTGCCCCACAACTCAAATACGTGTTATTCTGAGGTGAGTTCTTAGGAAGAAAGTTTGGGGACAGGGTTAAATTGTTTAAAAAAATAAGTACAGAGATACCTCAGAGACATTGTTTAATTCCAGACCACTGCAATAAAGCAAATATCATAATAACATGATTCACATGAATCTTTTTGTTTCCCAAGCATATAAAGTTATGTTTATACTGTGGTCTATTAAGTGTGCAAGGACATTATGCCTAAAAAAATAATGTACATACCTTAATTTTAAAATACCATTGCTAAAAAAATGCTAACCACCATCTCAGTTTTCGGTGAGTCAGTCTTTTTGCAATAACATCAAAGATCACTGATCACAGATCACCATAACAAATATAATAATGATGAGAAAGTTTGAAATCGTGAAAATTAACAAAATGTGGCACAGAGACATGAAATGAGCAAATGCTGTTGGAAAATCCCGCCAATAGACTTGTTTGATGCAAGGTTGCCACAAACCTTTAATTTGTTTAAAAAAAAAAAAAGAAAGAAAAAAGAAATATCTGCAAAGCACAGTAAAATGGGTATGCCTGTGACAATATAGTTATTTTTATGCTGGAAGTTTGACAATCTAATTTTAAGAAACCAGCATTAAAATGAACTTAGGAGGACATTGATATTCTATTTGTTACAAGTATCAAAAAGAGATTAGAGTACTTCTTATTTCCTTTCATTGGTACTAGAGATGGAATACTATTACTATTGCTGATCTGAGACAAGTACCTTAGGTGGCAGTTAGGCCTATTAAAAGCAGGTATTGGCAGGTTTTGTTTGCATTTTATTTTAGTGAAGAACAGCCAGACAAAAAAATTGTGTCAGTTTGCTAAGCTAATAAACTTGTGTCCTTTGGATGACTGCTGACAAATTGAAAGGTCAGTGTGGCTTCTTGTCACCAGACTTTGCCTTGAGGGTGAGCACCCCTTGGGCAGCATGCTGGTTTGAGCATTAAGCCTGGGGGCCCTAGCAGTTAGAGTTAGAGCAAGAAACAGCTTATCCAGCACCTTGGTCACATTCTAGTCATCAGTTTGCACATCTAGTACTCCCAACCCTGGGGAAATGAGCTGTCCTCGTCGTCGGAGAACTGGAGCTGGACTTTTCAAGGAGGTTTTCTTATGCCCTTTGTGGCCACCAATCCGTAACATTTGAGATTAGTAGCTGACTGTTGTGTAAATGGCAGGGGTGGAGGGGGAGGAATCTTTAGGAAATAACACTTAATGGAATTTTAAGACACAAAAATGTGAATATGATGAAAGCTCTTAAAATGTCTTTATTCTGAAGACCTTTCCTTTTCTCTCGCGATACTCTTAAGTGAATGAGATTATCTTCAAATACAGGTGAAAACGAGATACTCCCCCACATAGCTGAGTATTCTTACAGCACAGTTGAACAGTCTGAGCTATGGCATTTGCCAGGGTACTAAAAGTTAAGAGTTGGAAATATGTAATGAACCTTGCTAATTAAGGGTAAACGTGATTATAGATAAAGTATTTCCAGATCCCATTTTAGTGATAGTTTGGCATGGCTTTCTCTCAAGAGAATAGAATTTTAGAAATTTGCATTTAAGCCTTTTTTCCCTTTCCTTTAATCCTATTTTATGGTAATGGAGCTTTACAGTGAACAATAGGAGGAAGGGAAAGAACAGCTATGTTGAAAATCACAAACTGTTTGCTTATTTTCTGACACAATTTAAATCTTTGGTATCTTTAATTCAAT